AAAAAAGTAGATCATAACCATATTTATGATAATTTTCCAGGCAAATTTGCCTGAAAAAGCCTACAGTTTAAGGGATAAGATAATGTTTTAAAATAATGCTATAAAATAAAGCTATAATGCTACAAACTATTGTACAATGATATAAATCACTATAATAAATGATCAATATACATTTTATGAAAATAGTGAATTAGTGCTTATAAGAAAGTGATCAGAAATAACTGATGATTCTATTGTAAATAGAAAAAGAGTGTCTGAAAATGATAGTAGAGAGGACCAGGCATCTGAAATAATTAAGTTATCAAGTGACAAAGAGGACAAGATATCTAAAATAATTGAGATATCAAGTGATGAAAACAACCAGACACCTGAAGACAAACACCTAAAATAATTGTTATTAAATATTTTAAAAGAACAAACTCCTGAAGTGGTTATAATAAATAGTTTTGAATATATAGTATAACTTATTTTGTTTGAATCTATTTCTGCATTCATATTGTTTTATCTATAAAATATTGTGTAAATATGAGATAAAGTTAGTAAAAGTTGTTATTGTTATCTTTTTGGTTCAAAAGAAAGTTTATAGAATGAAAAATGTATAACTTTCATATAATATTTTTTTTTATCTTTATATTAAGATAAAGTTTATCTTGTTATTACTTTGTACTATATGACAACCAAATTAAAAATTATATAATCAATTATAATTGGTTATTTTGTATATAACCAATTCTGATTGGTCAAAAATATATATAACAATTTTTTTTCTATATTGGGGCACCAAAAAAAAATAAAGTCTATTCTCAGAATCATATTGTAATATAGTGAAATTTTATTAGTATATTTTATATTTTATTAGTTAAATATTATTAGTATATTTTTTAAATTTTTATTAATTGATTTTTATTAGTTGAATTTCGTTAGTTATTTTTTTTATATATTTTATATTATTATTATATATTTTATCATTTTATTAGTTTATTTATATAGTTTATAGTCTATTTTAT